CACACACACACACACACACACACACACACACACACACACAGGGCCCGTGCTTCATTCATTCCCTCCAAGACTCGTGCCCCCCCCCCCCCCCCACTTCTCTACTGAAAAGGCAAAGGAAAATTGAGACGGAGCCTCTGAGGTTTGTAATGTGATCCGGGCAAGTTTACTCTGAAGTCCAGTCCATTGAACTCCATGGGAGTCCACGCAAGCTTGCATTTCAGCCTAATTCCTGGTCCTAGCCATGTAGTTCGGTTCAATTGGGTGAATATCAAAAATGGCTCCCAGAAGAGTGTACAAATACCGGGAATAAGGCAAATCCAAGCATCAGGCTTGCAAATAAGGAGACACAACAGGAAGGGCGGAAAGGATTGGGATTGCAGAGAGAGGGAGGGAATGAGAACCAACTCATCCACCAGTTCTTAATTACAAGGTTCTTGCAGAGAAAGAGGCTGAGCACAGGAGAAGCCAAAAGCTGTGGACCTCCAGATGAGACTCCCTCTCTCCCTCTCGCTCTCAGTTGCCCCAAATCCCATGGAAGGGCTGCTCCAGGCCTACGGAATGGCGCCACTCCCTCCTCTCTCGCCTGCATTTAGATGGTCCCAGCAGTTCCAGGTGCTTGCTTCCCTTCTTCTGGAGCAGAGGGCTCCTGCCAGAGACATTCAAAGCCAGCCCCCCTGGAGTCCCTTCCCAGCAGCCACGCTTAGACTGCAGCCGGAAGACCCCCGGGAATTCTAGCCCTGAAAACAGAGCTTGGAAGTCTCCCGGTTGGGGTTCAGCTTGGGGCTCCCCAGCTTTTGTTGCATCAGGGGTGACATGCAGAACTGCTCTCCTGGGCCATTTCCTTTGGACAGAGGAGAAGGAGCTACTTCGCTGGAAGGGAGAGGGAAGCTGGGAGAGGGGAACCTCACAGCACCCGCCCCCCCCCCCGCAAGTGAGCCGAGCCTGCCATCCAACTATACAGTGGTGATGAGATCCCAGTTTGCCTGCCTTGTGTAATATTCAATTTTATTTTTTTTATACCTTGCTCTGGGGCCTTTGCAATTTGTCGACGATTATCTCTCATTCTGTACTAGGCAATGGAATGTTCCTCTAAGCCATTCTCTTGAGTGAGCTCGGAGAAAGTCGATTTCTTCATTTCTGCACTGCGGGGAGAGGCACCGGGTTGGCAGAGCATCACCCCTCCCCGAAAATTTAATTTTACCTTGGGGAAGGGGCTAGAAGCACTGCAGCCTGAAGGCAGGGACGCCGAATGGCTCCTTAAAAATACGGGCACTTCCACTGACACAGTTTGACAGAACATGCTGGCTTTCAATAGAACTGGTAGCCACAGAAGCTAATCTGACACAATTACCGTGCAATTCTGGGCATGTTTATGTGATGTAAGCTCCATGGACTGGAAATGTGGGGTATTGCTTGTTGGTGTAGCGAGCACCGTCGGCGTGTTTCCTTGGACGTCAGCCCTGCTGAATTCAGTAGGCCTCGATCCGATCCGTTGTTCATGAGCCTTTGCTTTGCATATGGCTGAAAATGCTGGTACATGCATGCAATCGCCTCTGAGCAAGCCCTTATTGGAAGAACAGATTTGTAGCGCACACGGCATCTATTTGGGACCATTTGCCGCGCGGAGAAAAATGCAGCCTGCCCGGGGGTCGGTGCTTCGAGGATTGTAGCCTTAGGGTCTCTCCCTATTAGTCCTATAGGAACTAGACCAGTTGAAATGAATGGGATGTGTCTCATCCATTTCAATGGGACTACTCTAGGTAAAGCCTACTCTGGGTTCTAACTAATGTCTTCATTTCAGTGGGTCTACTCTAGATAGGGCTAAGTATCGCAACAGTATGGATCCTACCCATATTTCTGGTGTAAGCTCCCCTACGCATTGAAGGTTGGACCATGGTTACTCTGTGCTGGGTTGAGATCTGGCATTTTTAGAACAGATCCATTGAGATCAATGGGCCTCCCATTAGAGATGATGAAGTCCTATTCATTTCAATGGGTCTACCTTACGTATGGCTAAGGGCGCAAGTGTAGACAGAAAAAAAAGGTCTACAGGGCCAAGCATCCCTCAGCCAGGACTATTTCTATCTCAACTTGCCTATGTTATGCCTTAAATCTAAATCCAGCCCTGAGTCAGGGTGATCTTCTGATTTCTAAAAGGAGAGGACTGGACCTTGTGTGGTTCTCTTTTGACAGCTGTGTGGTGTCAAGAAAGAGTGGATATATTCTGGTTCTCTACTCCCACTTTTGAATGCCCACCCTCCCCTTCTCCTGCCTTCACTGCCCACCAGATCCAAGCAGGGGCTTGTTTTCACCCCGTGCTTTTGTCCATGGCGTTCAAGATCCAAGACTCCTGGGCTCCAACACAGTGCACACCAAAGACGTAAATATTTAGACAGATCTCCTGCTTCCCAGGACATTTCAGGACTGTTTGCTTGCCAAATGAAACGGGCTATGGAACACCACAGGAAAGTGTATCTTCTCTCTCTCTCTCTCTCTCTCTCTCTCTAACAAGATTTCTGCTCAGCTCCAAGGCAAGTGTATTTTTCATGCACTGAGTCAAATCTGACTTTTAAGTAAACAGTCCGCTGTCCCCGAGTTTGGCCTAATCCTTGAACTAATTCCTAATCCCAGAATCAATGTGGGCGTGGAGGAGACGGAAGGTGGGGATTCCGGCCTCTTCCTCCTCATGTGTTGGACTGCAGTCCAGAGCACATTCCTCTTCCACTCCGTTTTATCCTCATACCTTAACCCTGTGAGGTAGGCTAGAATAAGGTGACCATTTGGCCCAGCTTCACCTGTTGGGCTTCATGGATGAGCAGAAACTGGTATGGGCACCCCCGGAGTCATGGTCCCAGGTTACGCTTGTAACCGCCGTCCCACTGACAGCTGAAGCCCAAAGCATGACCTTTCCTGGGTTGGGGAAAGCTGCCCTTGCAGCAGCTCTCTGAGTGATTGGTGGCAGAGCTGCAGAATTTCTGGCTCCCCATTGTTTTTGCAAAGCACCCCCTTCTCTAAATGGTATTGCAGAAAAGGGAAAAAAAAGTTTCACGTATCCAGGTGTGGATGGATGGATGGATGGAAGGATAGATGGATGGATATTTCACAAACGAGGACTATGAGCTCCTCTCGGAAGAAATCCCTGGACACAGAATTCTTGGAATGTAAAAGCGTATGTCTGCATTCTGCATGGAGCTGCAGGTTTTGCTAAAATAAAATTAAAATTAAAAAACCTAGATCTCCCAAAGTGGCTCACTTCTCAAGCTTGAAGTCTGCCCACCCTGGGACATACAGTGAGCTGGAAGGAAACCCCATGGTTGAATTTATCCATGAAAAAGAGCTGTTGTGTTTAAATGGGTATGTGGCAGTTTTAGAACTCATGATGGCACAAAGGCCCATAAATGGTAGGTTTTGATCTCTGTTTTTATTATTTCAAATGTTAATACCGAGATTTGTTTAAAACAGGGTTCATTGCATCTGTACCCTGCCTCTCTCTCTCTCTCTGTCTCTCTGTGTTGAACAGCGCCCTAGATATCTTTGCAATGAATTATCTCAGTGGGGTTTACTTCTGCACATGCATGCATAGGATTGCCCTGTATAGGATTACACTCCACAGCTGCAATTCTGTACATGCTTACCCAGAAGTACATTCCATTGATTGCATTGGACCTCACCTCTCATTGGAAGTGCTGCAATTATACCAGCCTTTCCATCATTCCCAAACAACAGTACATCACTTTTGCTGAGCACCTGGCTGGGAAAGGTTACAGTATAAAATGCACTGGAGATTTCTCAGTGCAGTGCAACAAGGATTATACGTGCCTTAAAACAACCACCCTGAGTTAGAAATAGACCTCGCTGTAGCCACTAAAAAATTTTATTACCCCTTTTGGGTTCCACTTGTCTCCTTCTGGCTGACAAAATAGTACAAAACTGTCCTCTCAGATAATTTTCTCTGCAAAATCTATTTTACATGAAATAGTGTTTCCCCACTGCTCCCTTCTGCCATTTTGGCAAGAAAGCAGAACATTTCTTAATTTGGATGAATTGTGATAATGAGGCATGACCCATTTTTCTTGTGCTCAAGAAAGGAAGAATACAAAACTGATCTTCCCATGCACATCTGCCATCTGCAGTTTTTTTTAAAGAAATAAATTTTAATAACACGCATACACTCTCCTGCCACACACCCATTTAGTCTGTTGGAAGATTTTAAAGCCGGTTAAGGGCACCATCTTAGGCCTGTTGAGAACGTCCAGCATTCCCCAACCAAAATGGCTGCCTGAGGAATCCTGGGAGTTCCAGGACCTTTTTCTGTCAAACCAAACATAGGATGTTGTCTCCTACCTTGGGTCATAACCAATGTTGGGTAGTAGATAAAATGCTGAATTGGGAGACCTAGTTCTAGTCAGGGGCAATTTTAGGTTGCTCAAAGATCCATGGCTGAAGCCAGAAGGACAAAATAAAAAGGAAGAAAGCTCAAATGTGCGTATGTTAATTTATAGATGTGCCAAAGTCTCTCTCTGCATGTGTGTTTAAAGGGCTCTGTTTCCTCTACTTGTGAAAAAGGAAGAGGAGGGGGATGTAGGCAGGTTAAAGGAAGGTGTTTGCTCTCAGAACATAACCTCAAGCAGAAAGATTCAAGCAGGTGTCCTGCAACGGCAAAGGGTTGTACTTGATGGCCTTCATGGCCCCTTCCAACTCTACTATTCTACGATTCTAGGAAAGGGAGAGAAATAGCCAGGAAGGCAAAAAGCCAGCTAACCCTAACTGAGAGAATGACTGTCCAGATAAGTGGGGAGCCCTGGCCTTTCATTTCAGCAAGCGCCCCTGGACCATGATGGCCGTTCAGAGGTGTGGGGCTCCAGAGGAAAGGTGTGGGGCTGCAGCCCTAGTTTGCCTCTTCCTAACATGCCCACCATTTCCAGTCCCTACCCAGCTATGAGGCACACAGGGAGAATCTGGGCCACTCCCTGACACTCTGCCTAACCTACCTCACAGGGTTGTTGTGAGGATAAAAGGGAGGAGGAGGAAGATTGGGCTCCTTAGAGCGAAAAGAGGGCATAGATGTAACCAAGCAACTTAGCCGGCTCCTTGACTGACGGTTGTGTGAACCCCACTGCCCAAACCCACCATGGCTTATTACTCAGAAACCTCCCACAAAGAGAACCCACGGCTGGTTCACAGGCTCAGGAACGGTGGGTTGTCCAGCATGGATTGTTATCTCAAAGGGGTGAGAAAACACAAGAATCCACATTTAACAGCAACCTCTGGCTCGAGCACAACACAAGCTCACTCAGCCCTTGCATGGGACTGTCCGAACCCAGTCTGGTCTGCCTACCAGGTCCGTGGGGCTGCCCCAAGGGTCCCACAGAGGTGAGGCAGCTCTCTCCGCCTTGCTTTCAAGCAGCACCATGCCAGTGGGCACGTGAATTAACCAGAAGCAGCATGTGGTAAGCAATCAGCCTCCATGTAGAGCTTGCCATCCGTTCCCTAGTATGGTGGCCGGGGTGCAATGCTATGCACATCTGGACAGAATAAAGTCCCACAGCCCCGAGCACGCCCCAGCTGATGCCTAAGCAGGCCTGCAATCATGCCCTTGGTGAGCTATTGCATTTACATTCCACGTGTCCACCAAAAAATATGAAACTTTCACCCTCGGAACGTGCCTGCGAGGTGGGGGGCAGTCAGCCAAGCTCACCCAGTGACCAGATGGAAGAGGAGCCGGTTTGACTCTCTGATCAGAGCTTGAGTCTGATCGCTGCACCATGAGAGGATGTAGTTGCAATATTTCTGCCTGGCAGCAAAGGAGGAAGCACTCTTCGGAAGTATCAATATTTTACTGTATGGAATACAGGAAAGGGGAACAAGGCAGCCGTGATAATAGTAAATGGGTGGATTTTTGCTGCTTCTGCTGATTGCAGTTCTTGAACATGAGCTCCCCTTATTCTAATGGTTTTATTATTTCCAAATGCACTGGTTTTGTTGCATTTTTTGGTCATGCACAGGTACTTTTTCGCAAGCTGCTTCAGAGTCTCATTTCCCCCAGGAAAAGTTGGATCCGAGACAAAACTATCTTGGAGTCTTCAACGTGCATGATGGTTAACCCAATCCCGGTTTTTTCTTCTTCTCCACCTAGATACGCGTTTCACAGTTCTTCTTGGCTGGTGGCTGGCAAAGCGGACCCTGCAACACCCGGGAGAGTTCATTATCACCCCGATTCCCCAGCCAGGGGAGCACAGTGGATGAAACAGATTGTCTCCTTTGACAAACTGAAGCTAACTAACAATTTGCTGGATGACAACGGACATGTAAGTGTTCCAGATGAGGATGGGTTGCATCTTCAGGGGTGGCCATGGCATTCGGGTAGCTGGGAACAGCACGGTTCTAGCTGAAAAGAAGCAAGAAGTCCGAAGTGTGTTTGTTTATTTCGATGCCACCTTTCCTTCCCTCAGAAGCGGTGCACAAAGTGCCTAACAAAATCCAGTTTCTTAACTGAAACGTAGCATTTAACGAAAAGGACATGCAAAGCAGCAAAAACTGGAGTTACCAAAGTTGTCTGAGGCTCATTCTGACTTGAGTTTTCATTGGATTGGGAGTTTTGGGTTGTTCTTTTTATATGAAAACCTGGACATATTTGCATGAGTATTTTTCAAATGTGTGCATCAGCTGTGCCTAGCTTTGGTCCTTCTGCATTCATCTCCAGTTAACTAAAGCACGTATGTGTGCATTTTTCAAAGGTATGCATTTTCCAATGTGCAGGGACTTTTGAATGCATCTGTTTTGATTCCTAATTCACAGTGAGAGCTGGGAAGTGTACAGACTTCAGTCACAGAGTGTATGCAAGCCCATGATGCAAACTGGACTGTTTTAGGGTGGTCTAACGTGCCATGCGAATCCCAGGATCCCTAGTGATTTTAATTAGTAGGCTTGGCCTTGTGAAATTTAAATCCTAGGAATTCTAAATGTGGAAATATGCATATCAATTGCATATCAGCATATACAAATTTTATGCAAAGCTTGTCTCCAGGGTTGGGTCCCTGTCTTTTGGGTCACTCCCTAGAATTGAACAGCAGCAACCAATTAAAAATACTTTCAGCAACAAACCAATTTAGATGCCAAATACCTACTTGAATAAAATTGGCAGAATTTAGATTTGGGGATAGATGTACAGGGCACCCCAAGATCAGTGACTCTTAAAAATCCAATGACATTTAATGCTTATGATTTCTATAGTTTGTTCTTTCCAATCTATACTTTCAGTTTTCCTTTGTAGTTGATTGTGAATATGACTTTTGGAGAAGTATGCCAGGTTTTAAGAAAATGACAAATGGTTTGAATTAATAATGCTTTCATTGGAATGCACCAACATGGCCTGGACTTCATCTCCCTCACCCAGTAAATACAATGATCAGACACCAGAATTTCCTCTAGAGCCCATTTCACAGATGAAGAACTGAGCCAGTGAGAGGTTAACTTGTACAAGACCTTCCAGTTGCTTCCATCTGAGCAGGAAATCAGAACTCATCAGAATTAACTAAGCAGGAAGACAGAATTAACTGAGCAAATATCATCAATATTATTTCGGTGGGAGAGTTAATTGCTCTATCATTAATGTTGTAGCAGCTTTAAAGTGGATACTCTGATGGGATTGAATTAATGGCATCTGTCAAAATATATCTGAAATGTAAGGTACAGGAGAACACACACCTTCCAAGTAATCTCCAACAGATGGATAACTGGCACAGACTTAAAAAGGTTGAAGCATGCTGGGAATTGCAGTCCTTTTCCTAGCTAAACACGCATAGGGTTGTGCCTTAAAGTTTTTATTAATATTGGGATTTATTATTATTAAAAAACAAACAAACACAGAATGTATTGTGAAAAAAACAAACAACAAAACCCAAACCAAACCAAACCAGACACATTTTAGGTCCACTGTGTTGAATCTACCAATTATTCAGTGCTTTCCCTGCTTTGGTTCCTCTCTTTTCCCATTCTGAAAGGTTGCTCCGCCATGCTGAAGGCTTAAGCACACTGGTATTTTTGGCATTTCTGCTTTGTCAGGCCTGCACCTCCTGCCCCCAGCCCCAGGCCTCCCTGGAGAGCTACCCCAGAGATGAAATCAGTCCTCGGGCTACAAGATGCTCCTGATGGAGGGAAGCAAGTCAAAGCTTTGTTTCCTTTCCCTGTGGATGGAGTTTTGCTGGGAAATAATAGCCCTTTTCTCACCAGGGGGCTGCTTCACTGGGGGAACGATGCTGTGGCGTTCCCCCAGCCTGCCCTTGGACCTCAGAACTGGGACATGGAGCTCTCCCCTCCGTCCCTGAGAGCACGGAAAGACCGTGCTGGCTGCCCTCTGACGTCTGAGGCTGGGAAGGTGGTGTGCTGGCGGGGTGAGGAGGAGAGCGGACTGAGGTGGAAAGCTTGTGAGGTATCCTGAAGCCTGTCCAGCCTCCCCAACTCTCGTAGATCGCATCCTGATGCTAATGGACACGAGCCTCTGAATTTGGTACTCGCACTTGAATGTAGAGCTGCCCCTTCAGACCATCCAAGTTGTTTCACTCCCGTTCCACCTTCTCAAGGCCCTCTGTGGTCCAGATCTGTCATCACGGACAGAAAAGCAGCTCCCGATGCCCACTGCATCGCCAACACCCCCCCGTCCCCAGACCGCTCCGTCCGGGGTGCTGCGTCGCCCATCCCCTGGGTGGCTCTCCAGGCTTCTCCTCTCTCGGCGGTGCTGCCTCACTATAGAAGAATGAATCAGTTATGTCCTCTCCCTTGCTCGTTTTATCATTCAGATCATTTTGAACTCCATGCACAGATACCAGCCTCGATTCCACGTGGTGTACGTGGACCCGCGGAAGGACAGCGAGAAGTATGCGGAAGAGAACTTCAAGACCTTCGTCTTCGAGGAGACCCGCTTCACGGCAGTTACGGCCTATCAGAACCATCGGGTGAGTGTCTGGAATCCATTAATGAGACACAGCCCTTCTCGTACTTCATTTATCAACAACCGAGCACGTGCGTGTCCCCGTCCTGCACTTCCAGCCGCATGATGGATGGCGCGCCGGAAAAGAGATGGCAGCGCGGGGAGAGCTTGTTCAGAGCGGTCAGTCAGGAGGTGCCAGTCCCCCGCCCCAATGCTCCAAACAAAACAATGATCTGTAACGCATTTAAAGGTGATTCGTCCCCCCTTTTAAATCAGTTCAGATGTGATGAGCCTCGGTGGAGAGGGGAGGGCGACTGGGTTTGGACGCAACTAAAACGGTTTGCAGGTTCCAGCTTTACCGAGTCGTATGGAACTGAATTACCTTCTTGCCTAGTTTGGGCTCAGATCTCATTCCTTCATCTTCTCCACTCCTGCTGTGCCGCCTTGCCCCAAGCTGCCACCCCAAGAGGCAAACCTCAAAAGCCACTGGATAAAAATATATGGTGTATTGGCACCTATACTTTCCTTTCCTATCATGCCCGAATGCATTCTGAATATCATGCTTTTGTTTGGAGGCAGGCAGCAAAAACAGTTCAGAGACTGTAGTCCTGGTTCAAGCTTCCAGAAAAAGCGAACATGTTGAGATTATAAACAGCGCTGCTTGGCAGTTGCCAGTTTGCAAGATTGACCCGACACGCCGAAGTTTTGGCTCCAGCCTGTCGGCTGGCTCTGAATTTAGTTGCGTGGTGTGCCCATGCCTCTTTAAATGTTCATGCGTACCGCGTCACTTAAATTGAAAAGTGGTAAGCTAACCTGGTGGCATGTGGGAACGCTCCAGCTCATTCTGCTAGATGGGGCCCTTGGCGCTGCCCCAACAGCCCTTCCATGCTGGTGCCGCTGGCATTAGCCTTCAGCCAACGCACCGAGACTCACAACGGTCACAAAATCTGCCCCAAAATGGCTTTCAGCATTGGTGCCACATACTACATTTCTAACATATCCACATTTTTATCATTCGATTTATTATTATAAGATTATTAATAATCTTATAATATACCTATTATATTAAATTATATATTAGACTTCAAAAAGTTTCTGCACTTTTTTTGGTGCAATTTATAAGTTTCGCAGCCATCTTCACCACAGCGTGACAACTCTTACACTAAACCGCAAGGGCAGCCAGCTTGCCAGATGGACTCGTCGTCTGACACTCTCAGGCACGACCAGTTAATGCTCCTCCCGCCCTCTGTTTCCAATGAAAATATAAAAGTGCAGAAGACCCCTTGTCTTATATGGCAATCTTATTATTGTTTATAGATTAATAATAATAGATTTATATCCCAACTTTTTGCTTCTTGGAAGGAATCCAAGGCAGCCTATATGGTCTTCCTCTCTCCTTTATTCTCACAACAACCCTGTGGGGTGGGCTAGGCTGAGAGTCAGTGACTGGCCCAAAGTCCCCCAGCGAACTTCATGGCCAAATGGGGACTGGAACCCGGATCTTTCAGCTCCCGATCCAGCACTCCCCACTGCACCGCACCGAGTCTGCGCATTCAGCCCAGGTCTGATCTGCTTCTTCATGGTGTTCCAACAAGTACATCATTCAGTAATGCTAAAGACTCTGTAGGAACTGTCTACTTTCACCACCACAAGCCCAGAATAAAAACTCCTAGAGAGAAGGCAGCACGATAAGACCTAATGTTCTACAGTGTAGGTGTTTCTAAGAAAGAGAGTCAAATATATTTCAGCTGGGTCTCACATTACAGTTTTAGGTTGAAGGTGGTTTTTTGATCTCAAAAATTACCACTTCTAGGCCCTGTGCTATTATGTCTGCTGATTTAAGGTGCAAATAGCTTCTTTTTTTTTAAACAGCACCTATAGGCCTCTTGCAAAAGTAATGCAGGCAAAACGTACATTTTCCTGATCCCGTGGAAAGGGGGCAGTTGTACTTTTGATGCAAATCTTGTTCAAGTGGGTATCCCTAGGCTGTGATGGTGAAAGTCCAGCCCTCAACCTGGCTGCAAAGCAAGAGCAGGTAACTCGGTAGAAATGAAGCAGTCTTTCTCTTGAGCTCAAGCCAAACGAATGGCAAAAAGGCCTCATCTAGAATATTCTGGCTGTTAAAGGATATATGCTTATACATATGTTTCCAGTATGTGGAATGTCTTCTCGGTATTCTGATGGCTTTGAATGGGAAAATATGGCAACTTTGGTTGAGTGTATTTAAGTAGAATTGCACCTTGCAGCAGCGACAGTTTTAATAAGACCAGCCACTAAGAACCCAAACCTGAAGGCCAGTTATGACATAGTACCCATCATGCTTACCTGGAAGTTGTTTCCATGTCTTGCAGACTATGGGACTTCCCACTGAGTGAGTTTTTCTAGGGCAGAGGTGGGAAGTTTGCAGTTTTCTGGATATGTTTTGACTGCAACTCCCGTGATCCTTGAGCAGTGTCAATGCTGGCTTGGGCTGATAGGAATTGGGGTATAATAACAGAGAGAGAGCCAAAGGGTCCCCAGCCCTTTTCTAGGGCTCTGCGTTTCTAAGTCCCATTGATCGGCCAGTCTTTGTTAAAGAAATACAAATGCGCAAACTTGAGAGAGAAATGGATAGAGCTGTCTGTCACATCACCCATTCCTAATCAGCTGAATGGAGTATGTCTTCCATGATCACAATCAGTTGTTTTGACTAAAGATTCCCATGATCATACTTTCAAAAACTGCTTATTCTGCTGAATTAAATTAGACAAGTCTGAAGAGCAATTAGTTTCTGAGCTCACTAAGTACTACCAAGAGAACGTTTTACATGTGGAACCGCCTACGGAAATACCATTCCTTGGGATAACAAATCTATCCCTTCTGCTTTCTCCCACATTTATTGTTTAAATTATTTCAAAATCTCAAGTTCTTTCCATTTGGTAAATGATGAAACTGGCAATTTTTGATGAATTCTTATCAAAAATGAAACAAGATTCTGACCCATCTGCACCAGCTAAATTCAGTAGGTACAGATATTCTCAGCATGGAAAGAACCAAATTGAACCTGCTTGCTTGCTTGCTTGCTTGCTTGCTTGCTTATTTATTTATTTATTTATTAAAACATTTTTATGCCGCCCCATTCGCCGAAGCCTCGGGGCGGCTTATCATGTAGTTGTTAAAGATGAGGATCATAACAAAGAGGTAGCAATCCAAATTCAACCCAATAAAGATGATTGGTCCACCAGGATTTTGAACACAAGTTTTTACACATTTCTGGAAGCCCAGATGAATCTGTCGATTTAATCTCCCCACATCTGGATTTTTCAAAACTCAGGTTCTTTCCAGCCTGTTTATGAAGAAAGTTTTGAATTGTGTTCAATTCTGCTCAAAAAAGAGCAATTTTTTCACTAACCCCTAGTGAGAACTACCAGACAATTCTCTGCCCCTTTGGAGTACTGTAATTCCCAGGGCCCTTTGTGGTGAGGGAAGCCATGACAGATGAACAAGGTCAATTGTAAATTGTAGTATATAGACCAGCTCATAGTTTGAGCTCCTCAATCCGGTTACGAGAGAAGGATTAATTAGACTGACTGAAAGATTCATCTGCATGGCTTTCTATTCCAGCCGTCTCTTTCTGCATGGCTGACAATCCCACCAGCTGAATAATTTGTGTTCTGCTTTTGAGTCTCGGTGCAAGTTCAGTAGACTGTCTAGGAAACTGTCCTACAGCCGTTCATCTGCTATACCCGTTGCTTAGTTTCAGAAGGAATTTGATCACCCTGGGAGGCCTTGCTGTATCATTCCTCCAAAGGAAGCTGGCAAGAGTTCTGTGTTCTTCCATCTTCCTTTCCCTTTCTCATTCATTCATTTTTTAAAAACTCCTACAAACATTTCCTGAAGGTCAGTGAGGCAGCAGGACATTTGTAAAGTTGAGCCTCTGGCACTGTCTGAGGAACGGCAGGCAACACACCCTCAAGACAATTCACAAAAACTGGTCAGACAGAAAATCTGTTCTTACTTGGGGTTGGCCTTCTTCCCCTCGGGATTTCGCATTAAATATCAGTTTGGAGAACTCCAAATCAGGTTTCTCCAGACTAGCTGTGCTGGAACCGGATAGCATGAAATGTGAGTTGCATTTCTGAACGGTGCCACTTCTGTGTGTGTCTCTCTCTATGTGTGAGTGTGCTGAAAGAGAAAGAAATACTTTAAAGCTTGCTTCCTTTTCAAAATAAAATTGGATGCGTTCTATACACTCAGTTGCCTTGAGCCTGAAAGTGTTGTTTTGCTTAAGTGCCAGTTGGCTGAGGAGAGAGTTTAAACAGAATTGTGGACACATCTTGAACCAGGGAATGCCTTGGAAAAGGGTTACCCCTTTCCAACAATAAATTAAAGAGAAAGTCAAGATCCACCAGTCTCCCTCTCAGTTATGCTGTTGGTACATGCTGTCAAGTCATCTTCAATTTATGGCGACTCCACGAATGGAACCCCTCCAAAATGTTCTGCTCTGACAGCCCTTCTCTGCTCTTGAAATTCAAGGCTGTGGCTTCCTTTATGGAATGGATCCATCTCATACTGGATCTTTTTCTTCCTCTGCCTTCAACTTTCCCCAGCTTGGGTGTCTTCTCCAGTGAGTGCATGGTGTGTTTGTAGTCTTCCTTCCTTGTAGACAGTGATTTCGCTGCCGAAAAATCACGATGCGTTAAGCCATCTCAGGATGGTTGGTCATGGTATTTTGAAGGAAGTGTGTGAAGGGTAGGGCAGTGCCTCGTCACAAAAAGTGGGGCCACGCAGTTGTCAACCACAATCAGGTTCCTCCTCTTGCTAGAATGTCCATCGGTGGAGCACCACCGAGAAATTAAGCCCCTGCATTAGCACATAGACGGCACTCTTAATGCAGGTGTGCCTGTGTTCAGCACCCCTGAACCTGGTGGACTACCGCTGATGAAGCATTTTTTATTTTTATTTATTTATTTTATTAAAACATTTATATGCCTCCCCATTCGCCAAAGCCTCGGGGCGGCTTACAACATAATAAAAATTACAATAATAACAATATAAAATAGAAACTAACAATATAAAATAAATAATAATATAAAAGAAGTCGCTCTGGCCAGATAAATAAGCAAATACTGTTAACAATTAAAATGACGCTTAAATAAAAAGGTCTTCGCCTGGCGCCGAAAAACAAACAACGACGGCGCCAGGCGGACCTCTCTGGGGAGCGCATTCCATAGATTGGGCGCCACCGCAGAGAAGGCCCTCCTCCAAGTACTCACCCTCCTAATTTCCTTCACGGAGGGTTCCCGGAGAAGGGCCTCTCCCGCCGATCTCAGGGGGCGGCCGGGCATATATGGACGTAAGCATAGAGAGGGCTGCTCTCTAGTACCTGCAGGTAAAACCCACTGAGCTCCATGGGCCTTGATCCTGAGTAGAAATGCACAGGAGCACTGAATCCGTAAACGGTGGGTTGGGGCCAGGATCTGCTTTGCACAGGGGGGAAGGCTTCCATGAGAAGGGCTCTGCTTTGCAGACGTCTCTCCCTGCACCCCGATCCTTGGGATCCGCCACCCGCTCCACACTGTGCCCCGATCCTCACAGACTCCTGCCTGCCTTTGAAGCATCTGCAGTGGGCTGGAGGGGCTGCCGTGGGAGGGGAGAGCTGGGGAGGTCAGTCTGCTGGAGCACAGCTGGTGCGACCCAAGTCCGGAGGCAGACCCTCCAAGGCAGCCCTTCTCCCACAGTTTCCCTGCATCGCCGGGAAGGTGCAGGGAGGATTTGGAGAAAAGCATGCTGTTCCGCAGACAGCCGAGCCAGAAAAACGTCGACCGTGGACTTCCGTGGCTGCGCATTGTTTCACTCGAAATATAAATAGAAGTAACTAAGCCTAATGGGAAGGTGAGGGAGAATTCACCGTCGCTCGCTGGGCAGCGTCTGAAAATAACCTTCCTGCGAGGCGGATGCTTGTGCCTTTAAGAGGCTCCTAGGCCCTGTCCCGGAATGGCATTCCTCTGATGGCTCGGGACAGCTGCTGGTGCTTTCTGCTTTCTATCACTTTGACCTCTAAGGCTGGAACTGTCACTGAGGGGGCTTAAAGTTTGTTTTTCAACCCATTCCGGAAACTCACAATCACATACTTTATCCGTGGATTTGCTTAAATATAGAAGGCGGCAGGGGCTGGGGGTGGGGGGCAGCGGGGGCATGGGGGGAGAATGCCCTGCCTTTTCTTCCTGGTGAATGAGCCACTTTGTGGCAATGTGATTGTGTGTGTGTGTGTGTGTGCGCGCGCGTGTGCGCACGCGCGCTTGTGGGGGCATATAAAGGGACATCCTCTTAGAGACCCTGCAAAGCTGGGGTGTGGGGTGCTATTGCCCCAGTGCCTCGAATTAGCTGAGACAGAAGGCAGTTTTGCACGGGGCAGTGAGGGAAACTGTGCTTGCGTTGCAAGCCAGACTGGGAGGAAGCACCGTCTGTGGGAGCGGCATGGGCCACAAAGGGGGCTCGGCGTGCTGCCGCTTTGGGATGGAGGCCAGATCAGCCCCATGGCAGCGTTTTAAGGAGACACAATGAAATTCCCCCACAGAGGGATGTGGAAAGGAGTGTCTAACCCCCACTGCCTTGCCCCCGGGTACCCCATTTCGCATCTTCTACGCAGTCCTCACAGGGATGCTTTGGGGTTACCTGCTCAGGCAAGAGTGGGAGACTAAGCTCTCAGACCAGCTTAATACAGAAACTCCTCGTTTTGACCACTGCCTTTGATGCAGAACATTTTATATCGACATCCTTTAGTAGCGTTTTTTAGGTTCACCTCTCTGGGCTTTATTTTACCCTTTTATTTAAGTTCCAGTCTCGTTCACCAAGGCCATAGTAGGACGTCTTCTGTAGTCCATAGCAGGAACCCTTGAGGAATTCTGCCTTTGTTGAACAAAGCTCTTCCATGGTTCCTGGGTGAACACGTTTCTGAATATAGCAATGCAGTCAACGTGCATTTTTAAAAGTGCCTGTTTTGAGAGGCATTTAAAAGCATTCAAATGATTTTTTTTTTTTAATGGCAGGCTAGAGCAAGAGCAGGATGGGCAGATGTATAGCTGCACTCGGGGTCAAACGATACAGGCTCGAAGAAGAGGGACTGGGCCATCCCGAACTGGAGTTCTGTTGTAGCTTTTCATGCACAAGCTCTGCAGATTTTCACGGAAAAGGTCCCAGAAAGCAGGCTGGGAATGAAGGACAGGTGCTTGTCAGGGCAGTCCCCATAGCCTTGCCCCATAGAGATTTCAAGAAATTTGGACAGCTGTGTCGATCCAGTCAACAAACCCCTCCTAGCAGTTTTTGTGTCCACCAGGAGAAATACTTTCTCAAAGCGAATGGGTTTTAATTGCCCATCCCGGACAAAGCCGCTCCAAAATTCTTGCATTAAGAAGAAGGGATGTACATGGTCGGTGGGAAAATTCATTCCCCACTTCCCCAGCTGCTGTGGGTATTATAGCTAAGTGCCGATGGAACAGGAAATTCTGAATGGGCTAGCAGTTGATGCTAATAAAGTTCCTACAAGCTCTTTCTCCACTGGAGTAAATAATACTGATAAAATGGTCTGAGTCCATATGAGAGAGGAGATATGCTTGCTGGATCAATTATTCGGCATGCCATGAAAAATGTGGATATCAGCTAAAACAGGGCGATGTGTTTTCGAGGGCCCAACATGCTGTCAGGGTTGGCAAGACATTGGTGCCCCCCAGTGACTAATCGCCTCCCAAATCTTTCTTCACAGATAACGCAGCTAAAGATCGCCAGCAACCCTTTCGCTAAAGGATTCCGGGACTGCGACCCAGAAGACTGGTAAGAGCCTTGCCTGGTCATTCGTTCTCTTCCTCTGCCAAGACTCTGGCTCCTTGTTGACTTGGCTTGAAACTGAGCGAGCCTGAGCACCACTCTTGGTGGGCATCCCAAGGTCATCATGACCTGGATACTGAAGAAGATGGGACCTTGAAGACTTGGTGATGGGAATTTGAGAAACTCAGGGAGAGGCAGAAGGCCACTGGCCACAGGTTCCCCAGCCAAAAAGCAGAAATGTTTTGGAAGAAGGGTGGGGGGTTGAATGTTGAATCAAGCAGTCAATAGAACATGTATGATAAATTGATAGACGGCTTTGTTAATCCAGTTGCGCAGCCCTATTGGGCATGGCCGAGCACAGCTGCTGGGCCCTTCAGAACTGCAGCAAAGCCACAGTTACAGGAGCGAAGGGCTAACCTTTCCATCCACCCTTTTCATCTTCCAAACTGTGGAGAATGGTCAACTCTGGCTTTTCATTATTTAGAGTCAGGGTGGGCAGAGGGTAGACCTTGAGATCTTTTGGCCCATCAGCATGGCAGTGCTCAGGTAGTTGAAGTCTAAGGCATCTGGAGATCTACCTCCTGATTCAGCGTCCTCTACAGCTTTTAAAAGTATAGTCCTCCAGTCTTAGGATGCAATGCAGTGCAATGCAATGCAATAGAACACCATTCTTCTTTTTTCCATGTTAGGCCCAGGAATCACCGACCTGGGGCCCTGCCTCTCATGAGTGCTTTTGCCAGATCCAGAAATCCGGTGTCTTCCCCAGTGCATCAGAATGGAACTGAAAAAGGTGAGCATTTTCCACCTTCAGGTGAGAAATGCATTTTCTAATGCGCACCCTGGCCACTTCTCCAAGGAAAGAGACATTCCATGGGTGCGGTGCATACCTGGCTTTGTTTCCTTTTGAAAGGAGGTCACTGGAGGGTTTTTTGGCTCATCGGGACTCATATTTTCCCTTTGCAACGAGGCTCACTGGAGACTCGTCCTATTTGCACTTATTTACAACGGAGGTGCAGAGCCTTCACCTAGGAACCCAAACTGGTCCTCCACGTTTCCCTGGATAGCAAACACCTCTTTCCCCCATTAAGTGTTTCACGGTTTTCTGGCTTTTGTGCAATTTTACTCAAAATACCTTTTCCAAGGCTTCGTTGCTGGCAGTGAGAGATTTAAAATAAAATAGGCTGGCCTTCTGTTCCTGCGCTGTTGCCTTCAACCTGACTCCACCTGGAAACTGCCCTCTGTTTGCTGTAATGTGGGAGGGCTTTTAAAATTGGGGACAGCCTGGCATTAAGGATTGCAGCCTGCACACACAACACTTTAAGTGTGTCCTGGCTTTAAGAGGTGTGACGCATAGGAACTGGAAATTAACTGCGATTATCAGGCAAATCCACTAACCAGTCGAGACATAGTGCTTGGATATTTGCCAGCCGGGTTTATAGACTTACATTTAAAAAAAAGTCTTGCTCACAGAGAATCCAAAGCCATGCTCTGGAGACTGGAAGCTGCGTCTTCTTTACTTTGCTCCTGCTGGCAGATCTGGTGGTTCTTCTGGGAATTCACTGTTGATGCAGATGGCTGCAAAGCCATCCCGATCTCCTCTTTGCTGGGATGGAGAGCAGAATAATAGGCTGTTTGTCTCTAGCAATCAGGCAGGACTTATGGGCCATTCCTCAACCCAGGGCCTGGGAAAACAGGTTCCCACAAGTCAGTCTTCTCCGTCGAGCGCACAAAATCCCTCTGCTCGGGAGAAATGAAGCACTGCGATACAGTACTCAGTGCTCAATCCACATGCATCTCCCAGTGCTACTTACCCATGGTGCAAGCAGCATCCACAGAGACGTCTGCTACTGCTGCCTTGAGCAGTGTTCTGGATGAGGACCCAGGAGGCCGACATGCAGTGCAGAGAGTGACTGCAGAGCATGTGTCATGGGGCAGGGGAAAATGTTCCTTGCTTGGTGTGAAGTGCACTTGTTGTTCTCCGAGCTGCTAGATGTTCTCATGGCATTCTGTGGGGTGTGGCTTCCCCAGCCTTTCCGAGTGGAGGAGGTGAGAGGCTGCTGGACAGCAAGACGGGGAATAAGTCCTCCTGAAATGATTGCACTTCTGCACCATGATGCATCCAAGTGAGCTGGATGTAGAATTCCAGCCATCGTCAATCCATGTTTACTAGGAGGGGGTCCTGCAGCAGGCCTTTCAGTTCCAAACCTGTTTTAGGCACTGTGAAGATCTGTGAGAGATGCTTCTCCCACAAAATGGCCTCGGACAGATGGTGAGACACAAGCCAAGAGCACTTGGTGTTTGTCTGTTCCCTCTGTTTGACTTTTCTCAGGATTATGAGCAAAAGCCGGCTCATGCGAGGGCCCTAATCTGTCCTTTTGAGGTTCCCCAGATAACCACATCCTCCCCACCCAAGATCATTTGGTAGCCTCCTGGCTTTGGCATGGTCCCGCACCCCTTCACTTGAAAGGTTGGAATGTTCCTCTTACGGCTTAATTATTGGCAGTATGATCTTTAAACAAAGGTATGGTGGTACTCTTGTATATTAGCTCCACTCATGTTGCCTTTGCCCATCTTTGGAAGGTGGCCACCAAGACCTTCTCCCAGATGGGATCCAGCCCTTGGGCTGAAGGGGATCCAGCACCCTTAAAGACTGACACAGTCATGATAGCATGAGCTCTTGCCAACTCAAGTCCACTTCATGCCATGCAGGATAAAATATATAGATAATGAACATTTTTGTGCTGTTTGCAGAACATCTTGACGGAAGTCTCAATTTTCCCATTACCTCTCTTGCCCAGTTTCCCACCATCCGGAAAGGTGGTAAAGCGTTAATTTTTACAATGTTTACTAGCCTCTATCCTTACTGTAATGATGACATTCATATCCCAAAGCACATACCCCTGAATTTTAAAACCTTCAAACTGACCAGAACATCCAACATACACTTAAGTTAATCCAATAATCTAATGAGAAGTTTGCTTCAGTTCTTCATTTAACTGCCAGATGTGTTTGCTTCCAGTTAACAAAGTTAATGGCAACTATTATCCAGTTTTCTTCTCCCTGTTCTCAGTGTTCTGACAAGTAGAATGCTTTGCATACTCGTCTTTTCTTAAAGAGAAGGGGAAAATGTCAATCACGCCCTTTCAAGCCACATCAACAAAAACACAATATTCGGTAGTTGCATTTAACCTCCTGCAAAACTCCATTAGGAATCTGTCAGTGATTCCCTTTCCATTACGCAGAGTAAACAGTTGCACAGAGATACGTGGGGGCCCTTTCCCCCAGCACACTCCAGGCCGATTAAAATAAAGAGAAGTCTCTATTTGTTTAGCGTTATACAATTGCAAAAATTTCAAGCGTGTGCAAACTTGTCATTCAACTCAGCTCTATTTATCACAGTCAGAATGTCTTGTCCCAGGAGCACGGTTTTCTGCCGAACACAACGTTAAACACTTTGTTGGAAAAAAAAGAAAAGAAAGAAAAAAGAGCTGCTATTCCTGGCATTCCTCTCCTCGTCTCTGTTAGCATAAGATCGAAGCAACAAAACGACTCTCCTTTTGTTGCGTTCCTGTTGAAAAAATATGCTGGCATTGAACTGAGCAGTCTCGATAGGGGTGTGCGTGTGTGAGTCTGCTGAGAGTTATTTCAAAGCTTCACCATGAGCTAAGAAAGAGCTCAGCGTCCCCTGCATCGGTCCCCTTCATTCCCCTTTACCTGCATTTCTTCATTCAGAATCCCCACCTCAACAAAGCAGGGTAAGATGAGAATGATAATATTTGCTGAGGGTTAAATTAAAGAGCAATGCGTTCCCACCCTTCGTAGTTTTCCAGGGCGGATTGTTGTCTTCCGAACGGCCTGGAATGCTGTGAGTGAATGGCGTGCGAGGGCACTCGGGCCTCTCTCCGCCTGCCCCCAGAAAGGGCAGTGGGGTGGCTGCCGGGCAAACGGAGGCTCCAAGCTGATCCATCTGGAGCACATCCCCAGAACACGGGCTGCGCGACTTCAGGGGCAGAGACCCTGTTGAGTCCCCAGATGGCCACACCCCCTTCCCCCCAGTCGCCAGTGATGGGGTGGCTCCCAAGCCTAGATGTAGCCTTTCCCCACCCCAAAAGGTCCAAATATCTCTCCTAAGGCTTAGCAAGCAGAGCTTCGAGCAACAAGGTGCCCTGGGGCTCCGCCCCCTTTGGCTTGAGGCTGGGTCTCCACCGGGTTGCAGCCCCAGAAATGGAACTTGGCCCCCAGCTGAAAGCACCCCGCACCTCTGCTCTGACGTTGCACCCGTGGGCGTCGCGTCCTGTGTTCTTGGGGTGAGCTCTTCCACAGCTCAAGCAGAGTCCCCCAGATGAGCTCCTTGCAGGCTTCCTCCTCTTCCCCACGGCATGGCTCAGCCGCCTCGTGCTCTGGCCCGAGCTGTGGGGTACAGGTGGCAGCGGCTGATCCCCCGCCTCCTCGCTCCCTGGCCCTCTGCCTGTCAGTCAAGCAGGGGTCGCCGCGATGAGGAAGCAGCCGCTGGGGACCGGGCTGGGGAGGAGGTCAACTCGCAGCTGCCCATGGGGGGAGGTACCTTGCTGAAGGACCCGTGGAAGCAGAGCGCCAGCACAGGTGAAGCACGCTGGCCCCATGGGGGCTCAGACCAAAGCACAGCATGGGTCCCTCCTGTGTTCTCACTGGGGGTGGGGGGTGGCTCTTTCCCAAGCGCTGGAGCCCTGGGGAAGCCGAGCTCCTGGATGGTCACGCCCTCCTCCTCCTTTGGCCTGTGTTGCAGAAGCAGTGGAGAGCCGCCGGGAGTACGAGCGGGAAGCAGCCAGTGGGACGCCGCTCCACGCCGATCCTGCTCACCAGCAGCTCATGTCGAGGGTGCTGAGCCCCGCGCTGCCCGTGCCCGGCGGAGGGGGCCTGGTTCCGCTCTCCAGTCCCGCCGGAAGCCGGCCGAGCCCCCCACATCACGAACTGCGGCTGGAGCCCTCTGCTTCGGAGCCCCTCCACCACCACCCCTATAAGCACCCAGTCTCGGCCTACGACCATTATCTGGGAGCAAAGAGCCGACCGGCGCCTTATCCTTTGCCCAGCATCCGGGGACACAGCTATCACCACCACCACCACCACATGAATCCAGCGGCGGCGGCAGCCGCTGCTGCGGCTGCTGCCGCGGCTAACATGTATTCCTCCGCAGGAGCTCCCAGTAGCTATGACTATGGACCAAGATAACCACCCCCAGGACAAGGTCCTTAAACAAAGACTGGCTTTCTGCATGGTTTGAAATTGCTCAGTAGCAACCCTTTTGGAGAGCGCTATTTGTCGAAAGAACTCACCCGCCCCGCCCACCCCCCCCCCCCCCCCGGTATTTGCGAGGGGGCCCTTCCTCTCCCACTCACGGTGTGTCCTTCCATGCACCCTCCAAGCCGCCGTTCCGGATGGGATCACCTTCTGAGGATAAAGGATCGGCCTGCTTGCTTGGGCAGACCGAAGCCCCGCAGGGCTGATGGATGGATGGATGGATGGATGGAGTCCGGGGCTTCCCCTGGAGGGTTCTGCACCGCCTGCCGCCATCTTGGAAGGGTGCCCTGCTCTTCTCGTCAGTCTTCCCCAGCCCCCCAGCCCAGAGACTGGCAGCTGCACTTTTTCTTTGCTTTATGAACGAAGCCATACGTCGCGATGTTCTCCCGCTGCCGTCGTCACCATAGCCTTATAGCGTGTGTGCAGTTCTCTGCCTGTTCCAAGTGTTTGATCAGTCCTCTTTGTAGCACTGCCATGAAACACAAGGACCCAAGCAGTCCAGCTGAGTTCTGCCTAAAGCCCACTGGTGCACCAGCCTGGGTGGGGTGGGGCGGGGCTGGGACTGGCGCCAAAGGGAGGCATGGTGGGGTTCTTGCCAAGGGATCCCACCTCAGCAGGGGCCTACCAGCAAGCGCATCCGAGAGTTGCTGTTCCTTTCCACCCTTCGAGGAACACCCGTTTGCTTGTCTGCTTGAGCCAGGCAACGGTGGTGAGGAGGAGCTGAAGATGCTGTGGCCTCCCTGCTCCTGGGCTCTCCACCTACCGAGCAAGCAAATGGAAGCAGTCACTGGGAGGAGCAGCATTAGCGTCTGGTGGGAATGACGGTGAGGAGGAGGTCAGCCCCGTGAGGGAGGAAGCCCAGGGCAGGTGTCTTGCCAAGGGCCCCCTGAAACTGGGAGCCAGCCCTGGCAGGCTCTGGTGCAGTGGCAGAGTGGCTTGCGTGCGTGTTCCCAGGTCTGTGGCCAGGTGGAAGAGGCCAGGTGAACGGCCTGTGGTGGCGGCTCTGGAGGGGCGGAGCCAATGGGAGCAGGCCTGCTCTCCCCAGCCTGGTGCCTTCTAGGGTTTTGGACAGCAACCTCCGCCAACCTGGCCAATGGCCGGGAATGCTAGGAGCTGTCATTTCAAACACCGGGAAGTTGGGGGAGGCCGAGGCAGATCGGGCGGGGGGCAGGTGGACGAAGAGGGTAACCAGTAGAAGGCCACTTTGCATTTTATGGACGGCCCCATAGCTCAATCGTTGGGCACAGGCTGTGCGTGGAGAAGGTCCCAGGTTGGGTCGGGGTGGCCAGTGGTGGGACAGACCCCAGGCCAAGACCTTGGGGAGGTGCTACACATTGGAGTCTCCAGAGCTGGGCTCTGACCTTACAGAAGGTGGCCTCCCAGGTGTTTTCCTAACATTAGCAAAGGTATTGCTGTGCACTAGATCCATGCAACTCACGTGGAGGCTCAGCATCAGCAACACCTGCAAACTGAAGAGCTCATGGGCGCCACTCTTAGCACAAGCAGCCTCCCTTTCTCGCCTGCCACACTGTCCCTCGCATTCAAAGGTGCTGGTTTTTGTGCAAGCCACTTTCAGTGGTGGTTTGTGGAGCAAGAATAGTCACTCCCCCCAGGAAGGAAGCCAAGCAGCAACAGCACAAGCCCGATCATCCGTCCGACCATGGGAGGGCCCCGTGGCTGGGTGCAGAACAGGTACATGGCATGCAGAAGGTCCCAGATTCAGTTCCCAACTAAAAAGGTTGCAGGTGATGGAAAAGACCCATCTGAGTCCCAGAGGCAGCAGTCACATTAATACTTAGCCTCCCAACCAACCAGTTTTTCTGCTGCTGACAAATTAAGAGAGTTGGTTCTCTTACAGAAGACCCACCAGAAGCCACACTGAGCTATGCAAAAGGTGCTGTGGTGAGGAAGACTCTCCGAAGTGCGAGTATTTGTCTAATTTAGCACTCTCTTGCAGAGGTGAGAAGGGCATTACTAGTTTGTACTCATCCATGCACAGTGAGGCTGAATAAAATTGAAGGTGGGGCGTGGCTCTGTTAGGGGCTGAACCTGTCCCATCATCCCCTGCCAGGCATCCACTCAAGCCTTGACTGATGGCTCAGCCATACTGGATAGAGCTTGAAACGGCACCTTTCCCCCAGCAGCTTCCATTAAAGCTCTGTGCTACTTTAGAGAACCTTCCAAGGAACAGTGATGACCCAAAACATTTCGATGTTTGACCTGGAACCCAAATATTCTCCCCGAGAATATTCTTAATGGTGTTTTTTAAAATTCTTGTGCACTGTCACCCCTCTGACACCCGTTTCTGCCTTCATCTGTCCTCCTCTGTGCACACTCCCGACAAGACAAAAAGGCAGCGCTTCCTGGTGGATGTTTTGCAACCAGAAGGTCCCAAATTCAATCCGTGCTGTACCTTTTGTGAAGTAGGAGCACTGAACCCCTGGCCTGCCTGCGGACCCAATCCAGCCCTCTTCTGTTACTGAGATGGCCCCGCCCCTTCTCCTGGCCCCACCCACTTTCACCCCACACTTTGAGCATCTGCAGATTTCCTGGCTTTGTGCAGGTTTTTCTCCATTCCAAAAGGTTGAAATCCTTGTCCTAAAGTTCAGCTACTGGCAGCAAGGACTTTGAGCTGGAACATCCTGGTAGTTTCATTACCACTTAGAATAGGACTCCTTCAAGCGTCTCTGGAATGTGGCCTGTGGGCTAGAGGAGGTTCAGTGCCCCTAATTTAAAATGATCCAGTTGCAGGTATAATGGAAAGGACAGTTTTCTTGCATCCCTGGGAAGTTGCTGCCAGTCAGAGCCAGCAATACTGAGCTAGATGGAGGAAGAATGCAACCTGGTGTAAGAGCTTCCTCCTACAGACATAGGAGCTCACACGTGGTCTAAACTGTACTTGCATCCAGAAAATAGTTTTGCCTTCTTTCCCATGTGCTGGTCTTCCATATTTGGGGTTTTGTTCTGTACAGGAGAGAGAGCATTTCAACTAGTGCCAGTTTCAGGTTTGGGGATCAAGACGCTCTGGGTCGGGGAGCCACCCACCACCTTTCCAGTGTCCTTCCCCTTGCTCCTCCTTGTCCTGGTCCCAGTTCGCAGTTCACACTGCCTACTAGAAAGAGGCACACAGAGGGGATGTCTTCCTGTGCCGCTGGCCATTCACTCGAGGTATGTGAAGGGCAGAAGGCCAGATGGAGAGGGCATTTGCCAGAGCCCCCAACTAGGCTGTGGGTGTCAGCATATGCCAACTCTGGGTGCCAGCTCAGTTGGCAACAAGCGGTCCACTCCCTGCAATCCCAAACGACAGCAGAAGCCACGACATCTTGCTTGTTGGTTTCTGCCTGGGGCGTTGTTGTTGTTGTTGTTGTTCATGCTGCAAATTTGCTTGCTTTCCCCGCATGCCTGGCATGCATTAGTGTGTGTTGAAATTCTTGGGGGAAATTAGTTGACTATGAACTTTAGCAGTGATGTTGTTTTGTTCAAAAGCTGCCTCTTTCTTGCATTTACTGTGTTTTAGCATATTTATAAACGGTGAACTCCTCACTTGCTGAAATTAAACCTCTTCTTTTTCCCAGCGTGCTGGCCAGCTGCAAATGGTCAATTGCAAAGATGATTTGATAATTTTTCTATTTCTTTATTTTTCTATTTATATCCTGCCTTTTTCCTACAGAGGGCTCAAGGCAGCTTACATAATTCTCCTCCCCCATCTTATCCCCCACAACAACAACCCTGTGAGGTAGGTTGGGCTGAGTGTCTGTGACTGGCCCAAAGTCACCCAGATAATGCAAATTTGGTTTGCCTCTTCCGTCCCCATGCACAGAGCCAGAATAACCAAGCCAGCCGCGGTTACTGGAGAGAAAGCCTCACTGAAGGATGTCTAGAATAGGGCTGCCAAAAGATGCTATTTCGGAGCTCTTAGGTAGGAAGCTGTCTTAACGCAAGCTAAACCAGTGGTTCTTCAAGAACTCTGCCCTAAATAGCAGTGGTTTCCAGGGCTTTAAACAAGTGCCTATCCCAGTCCGGCCTGGAACTTGGATCTTCTGCATGGAAATCAGTGCTCCACCCCTGAACTGTGGTGCCGTCTAGGGGAGCTACAATGTCAGCTTATTGCAGCAAAAACGATGGAGGTTTGTGGCCACTGAAAGATGCATGCATTTCCTGCAGCGTAAGCTTTGGTGGGCATCTGCAGAACAAAAGAAACCACCATGGCATCTGCCACGTACCATTGCTCAGATGCCACAGGGTTCCATGTTTAGTTATTGCAAAGAAGGGCTTTGCAACAGCACTCAAATCACCTTGGTGCATTGCACACCAAGAGTCAATGTAACAGAGATGCAGAAAAATAAAATCATTACCTGCTTTGGGGAAAAAAAATTGTGACCCCAGTGGAATTTCGAGGAGGAAAATTCCACAGTTGTTGTGGAGGAAATATACTTGAATACCCTTGGTTTGGGTGGGTGTAAGATGCCCATAAGCACAAGATTCTGGGTCGTGCATTGTTTTTAAATTTTTAGAAGGTGGAAGGAAATCACAAAACCATAGCATTGGAAGGGGTGTCTAGTCCGACACTTTCCAAGGCAGGAAATTGCTGCCACCCCAACTTTACTCACAAACTTCTAATGAAGTCGCAACCTCTGGAGGGAGCCTGTTGCGATGCTGAAGTGTCTGAACATTTGTCCCAGCATGTGGTTGAAGTCCCCTTGCTTGGTCCTGGTCACACTCTGGAGCAAGAGCAAATGGATAGGTTCTACCTTCTGTGTGAGAGCTCTTAAATTCAGAGCCATTCCGTTGATATTCCCCTTGTCCCAGAATTACCAGACACATTTCTCCGGGAGCCTGTCGGGCATGCTTACTCCTGTACAGCACCAAGAAGGGGTGTTTCTTGAGAGCAGCGTTCTCTAGCATGATGCCCTCCATATATCCAGCACCTC